CCTCAGATCCTCCTCCTCCTCTCAATTCTTTCTTCTTCTTCTTCTTCTTCTTTTTCTTCTTCTTCTTCTTCTTCTTCTTCTTCTTCTTCTTTCATGGTCAAAGGCCGCTTTTAAAAGGCGCGAAACCAAAACAGGGAATTCCCAGAGTACCCACAGGTTTAGCCAATCGTTGCCCAGTTTACGCCCTGCCTGTATTCGCATGTGGTTCATGATAGCATGTCAGGGGTCTTAGAAAGAATTTAACTTCAAGCATGAAAATGGAGATTGGGGCTGTAACAAGAGCGCTTGGCTGGCTTCAAAATACAAGACCAAGAACTTCCCATCTCATTATTGTCACAGACTCCCAGAACATCCTGCGAAGGTTTGAGAAAGGGCTGCTTCGGAGTGAATGTATGAACCCAATATAACACTCATCACTTACAGCCATCACATGGATATTCTGTCCTGGGCACTCTGGAGTGAAGGGCCATGAGGAGGCTGATAGGCTGGCAGGCAGTATGGATACCTTGCGGGCTTTGGTGTTGGGGGGAAGTGAGCACTATGGATCTGTCCGGTGTGCAATGACGTTGTTGCCCAGGACAGGTAATCGGTAATTTGGGTTTGATAGGTTTGATATCTGAAGAGGCTATTCAAACTCAAATTCCAGTGCGCGTGTGCAATCACTGGTTGTAATGTATTTTTTTTGGTCTCCGGCGAGGTCTAGACTCAAGTCTGAATAGTCTCCCGTTTCTATTCGGACTTTAAACTACTGGTAGGCTATTACATAATTATTTTACTTTTACATTGCGTTTCACGAGACTACAAATACGAAGGGATCAAAACATATAATTCATAATCAATCCTTATAAGACCACCCTCCCTCCCTCCCTCCCTCCCTCTCTCTCTCTCTCTCTCTCTCTCTCTCTCTCTCTTTCTCTCATTTACTTTTCCTCTCTCCATCTTACTTCCCCAGGCCCGGCCCACCCTTCATTTTAGATATATAGATCTATATTCCCTCCCATACCGTTGCCCACTGCCCGCCCCTACTATTATTATTATATTATCCTTTGTAAAGAAAAGACCACAGCACGCACTGGGTCACCACCGTCGGCGTCCATTTGTTGTAAGTGCCTTGGCCTGATCGAAGAAACCGAGGAAGGCCACAGTCAAATTGCTTGTCTGCTTCACATGCAGTACACCTAGTGATTGCACACGTGCATTGGAGTTTGAGTCCGAATAACCACAGAAGGCTATTCAGACTCGAGTTCAGACTTGAGTCCGAATAGCCGCGGCATTGATATCTCTCGCTCGCTTAGCATCATAGTCTACAATCTAGGGAAGGAGTTCCGCAGAGGGCGGCCGGCCCTCCCCACCCCTCTTTTGTTGGCATTTATTTTTTTTTGCACCCCCTCCCCACTGCCTTCCGATACGGAAGTCCGATATTCTCAATAGTTGACAGAAGTAGGTAATGGATTCCACACGACTCGAATTTGTCCTCGGCTGGAGCTGTCAAATGTGCTTTGCTCTTACAAGTTATCTCGTCTAGTTGTCAAATTTACCAAAATGTAGGCCTAAGTCATCGATTGGATTCTCTAAGTGCACCATCTCTTGTATAGGCCTATAGAGTTTTCTCAGTTGACCTTGTCTCGGTAAGTGCCGGCCCTCTGCAGAACTCCTCCCCTATCTAGGATCAAAATAGGGGGGTGGGAACAACTGAAAAAGCGTCCAATTTTAGGCACCACCGGTATACCTTTGGCTAGGGCTCAGAGCACTTTGTAATAAAGGTCTATTAACATATATATAGATCTAGTCTAATAGGCCCTATTTATTAGTGTGTGTATTCAGACTAGAAAATCTGCAACAATCGTATTGTAAATCCCTTTTTAATGACTTGCGGGCAGGTCGGCCAGAACTAGTGGATCTAGAATCTAGATACTAAACATTCATCTAGTCAATACTCTAGACTTTGCTTTGCAAACTTTCACTTAGTTGACTTAGAGGACAGCTTCCAGCCTAGATCTATGAAGTGCTTGTAAACGTAACACAGCACAATGTCTTGAAATTGAATAGTTGGCCCTATTGTGAAGTGTCAAAAAATATGGTTGAGCTCAAAATCACATTGTCTCGTTTTTACACAATATGCGTTTCGGCAGTCTATTACAGTTACAGTACAGTAGTTCAGTTTTCAACGTTACTCTCCCTAGTCTTCATCTAAGACATTCAAATGCTAGGGAAGAAGAACTAAACTGGCCTCTATTCTTAGTGTCATGGGGGGAGGGAGGAATATATAATATAGCATCCCAGCATTCAAGGGTGGAGGTTCCAACCTTTACACCTCGGAGATAGGTTATGATTGACAAGGGGGGAAAAAAAAATTCTAGTGGAATGAGAGAAGAACGGATTTCTTGGTGAGTGAACTCGGCAGTGCACCAAGAAGCTCTTTTTGTCAACATTTGTAGAAAGACAAGGGAGATGCTGCAAGAGCAGCTTTAGGTGGAGAAACATGTAAACGGAAGGAACAAACAAACTCTTAAAATTCTACTTTTGAAAGTGTTGATAAAGCACTTCCAAGTTCTAATGTGGTTCGAACAAAAAAATAAAAAGCGAATCTTGCGCTGGGCTAATATCTTATTATTCAAGCTAAGTGTCAAGGGAAGCAGCTGCTCACATAGATCTAGGCTAATTGAAGCAAGGGCTTTAGATTTGGGGCACCACTGGTTCTTTCCTTTTATATGTGCATGATATGACAGTCACGCATTTTGTGTAACAAACACTTGTGTTCTTGAAAATCAGGGCTGACTTTGTTTTACGTCAGTTTCACTTAATTTGCCATTCACTTTCAGGTCCTGCCGGTTTATAAATTTATCAAGATTCAATTTGCAAACTTTGTTGCTTAACAAGCTGTCCACAATGACTGGAGAACCTGCAGAGAAAAAGCTTCATGGAACACCTAAAATTGGAACACACAATGGCAGCTTTCACTGTGATGAAGTACTTGCTTGCTTTCTTCTCAAACAGTTGGATCAGTACAAAGATGCTGAAGTAATAAGGTATACCATCTCTGTTGTTCCTTTCTTGCTATAAATCTATCTTTTTATATCATGAGACTTTCTTTTCGAGAACAAATTGTTATAAACTCTTTTAATAAAATTGTTGTCATTTGATATTATATTGAAATGCTATTGCATTATAGCTGGATCACTGACCTGTTATGAACTGGACTCGTGTTGAGAATCTCAGGACTGTGTTTATCATACCTTGTTCAGAATGAGAAAGTTGGGGCACTGCAAGTCAAAGGCTCTTGAATATTTAATATTATTTTCCCAAATCTCCCATGCTGCTAAACAAGAGTTTAACCAAGAAATTAAGTGATACATGATAGAAAATATTATTTCAATTTATCATAAAACCACATTTACGAAGATCAGATTTAGTTTGTTTATATATAAATATCACAGGCTTACAGTTCTTAAAGTTGGGTTATACTACTACAATTACCATCAACATTGTCCAGGACAGCCACCCATTGTTTAGGAGGAAAATGGTTGTATTAACGACAGGTGAATTGTGTTGGGTAATTTCATAAGGTTTGAAGTTGAATGTGATCTTTTGTGCAAGTGTTTTTCTTAGACAGTTGACAGATAGGGAAGGTTCAACTATATTTATTTTGGGGGGTTATTGGAATTCTGTTCCATTATAATAGTATGAAGGATTTACTGCTTTGGTTTTCTCAATCTTCATTTGTATGACTGTAGAAAAGGAAGAGAGTTCTCATTTTTATTCATTTATTTCATAAATATGCTTTGTTTGTGCATTTCTAGAACAGTTGTAAAATAAATAATGATCTCTGTGAGCAAAAATGTGCTTTATCATAAATAATCTATTATTGAAGCAGTCTGGATTGTAATTGTCATTATATTTTAAAACATTTTGAATATTTTGATTGATATTGATATTGTTTTTATTATTTTATTTTTACTATTATTGTTGTTGTTTTATGATATAATGATTATAGGATTACTATTGTTATTGCTATTATTATTTGTATCATTATTATTATTATTATTAGTATTGTTATTGTTATTATTATCACAATTTAAGTTTTATGGATATATTATTGTCTAGGCCATTTTCCCTGTGTTTTTATCCCTTTGGCTTTTCTTTCCCAGGACCAGAGACCCAAAATTGTTGGACACATGCGATATTGTGGTGGATGTGGGCGGAGTCTATGACCCAAGCAAACACCGATATGACCACCATCAGAGGTGAGAGACACGCTGATTTGGTCACACCCTGGGGAATGGGATGGGAGTCATTCTATTGATACAAATTGTTGTATTTGTAATTGTAAAAATGTTTTTCTCCCCGCTTGACACAATTTAGGCCATTTAAGGGCCCATTACATGCATGTACAGGCCAACCGGAAAGGTTTTTGACTGTAGGCAAGCCGTACGGCCAGACAAAATCGAGGAGGCCTAGTCTGGGTGAAACTTCACACGCGTGTGAGCATCATGGCGCGCAAAACATAGAAAATGAGCAGGAATGGAAAATTCTTAGATACAAAACCAAACTAGTCATTCGTGAGCCATTTCCCTAATTTTGATAGGCTGATTCTGAATCTGGTATTATTTTTTATCTACGACGTGATTTTCTATCATTTTGAAATTAGTTCTGTTATCCGCGGCGCAGCAAACTTCAAAGATAGTCGGCACTCTCCTCAAGGCCGAATGGCCAGATGTCAAATTCATAGGCAGCGGGTGTGGGTTCGTTACAGCTATTCGCCAGGTGTTCTCCTGCGGTTTGAGCCGCAGTTCTTATTACACATTACGATTGGCCCACGTTACGATTGGCCTTACGACCCAGAAACCTGTCCGGTCGGTACATGCAATAGGCCTTTTAGAAGGCAGGCTGATGTGACCCTGCCTGTCAACACCAACTCAGGCTGAGATAAATGTACGGCCCCAGCTGAGAGTTGAGAGATGACTAAAAAAATTAGTTCCCCTACATGGGAATTGAAGTCGCTTTTTGTATGTGCAATTGCTGAGAGCTTAACCGTTACCCGTTACGCCATTGGCACTTGTTTTTTTTTTGTCTATGTATATGTTTAGCAGTAACAACGTCTGTGCGTCCAATTCCAATACTTTATAATTTTGTTGTTGCTGCTGATAGCATTGTTCTCAATCTAAAAAGATGTGTTTCTAAGAGATAGTTGATAAAAACTTGTAACTTAATCATAAGTAGAGATATGGATTAAGGTTGTTCTTGGAAGTGTTTTACCCTGCCTATGGCATGTCAGTACAGGAAGAAATTCCTTTGCTCACCACATCATGTGGTGCAACATGTAGCTAGCGCTGATGAGGGCTGTCACATAAATATGGTGCAGTGCATAGGGTATGAGTTTATGGAATTTAGAACAAGCAGGTCAGTTTTTATTTCTGATTGCTTGTTTTAAAGTATTAATAATTTCTTAGTGATTTCCTGTCAGATATCTGAGCTGCCATTGCTATTTCCTCTTAAAAGTGTCTCATATAAAATATCTTTGTCTCCTTTACATTCTTGTGATCTTTATGATTATATTTTTATTATTGTTGGTATTGCTTTTAAAGTGTAGATGATAATCATTGCATTTGACCATCATTTCTTATTTGCAATCTGCAGGAGTTTCACTGATTCAATGAACAGCTTGTGGTCAGAGAAGAAGTGGGTGACCAAACTGTCCAGCGCTGGACTCGTCTATCTGCACTTTGGCATGGATGTCATAAGCAAAATCCTGGGGCTGCCTACATCTGATCCTGTTACTGTTACAATTTACGATAAAATGTACGAGAACTTCATGGAGGAGATTGACGCTATCGACAATGGGATAAATCAGAGTGAATCCGAACCCAGGTCTGATGTGGTCTCGAGGATTTAATAGTTGATATTTATGATGTTGGACTTGCTGTCACAAAAACGTTAATTCTTTCTTTCCCAAGTAGAATTTTGTATCAGAGGTGCCAATTTTCTAGATAAATCCGGAAATCCTGATTGCTGAAAGTCTGATTTCATCCTGCTTTACATTGGTTTATATTTTAATCTCTTTGTATATGTTATACTGCTATTTATATAAAAATAGTCTTGATTCTAGGTGTATTAGACAATATGATCCCTAAATTATTGCCTCGAAGCTCACATGTCTATGAGGTCTGAAAAGTTTAGCTTTTTTTCTTTGAGCCAGTTGTCACCTCTAGTTGTATTCTTAGGAATGCCACTCGACTCTCAGTTTCGTCAGTTGAGTTGTTTGCACATCGATTCCTTGCTATTAGTTGGGATGAAAAGTGGAAAAGCAGACTGGCACACTTTTTATCCTGCAGGGGACTGAGATGGTAGGCTATATTAAAATAAATGATTTATTAAGCCCAGGAAGTTGTTGTGAAAAGGCAGCAACCTTCGAACAGAGGCATCTATGGTGGTGATTGTAAAATGTTATTAACATTTTGATGTCATTGACATTGTTTTGCCGATTTAGCGCCAGTTTTGACTTGTTTTATCTCCGCTTTTGTTCCTGTTTTGTAGAACGCCTAGTTTTCCAGTACTGTTGATGGGTGTGCTTTTGTTCCTGTTTTGTAGAGCGCCTAGTTTTCCAGTACTGTTGATGGGTGTGCTTTTGTTCCTGTTTTGTAGAACGCCTAGTTTTCCAGTACTGTTGATGGGTGTGCTTTTGTTCCTGTTTTGTAGAACGCCTAGTTTTCCAGTACTGTTGATGGGTGTGCTTTTGTTCAGTTAGCAAGGCTCCTGACTGTAGAGTGGGGTACTCAGATTTCAGTTTGTACAGGGGTGAGGGTAGTTTGTGTGTGCTGTAGTCTGGTCTTCTCTATTTCTCTTTCAGTATTATATTTTTGTAATCTATTTCCTGATAAAAAAGGTATGTTGTCGTGCACCAGCTTGCTCTACAACTAGTACAACTCTACAACAGTTTCTTCTTTGGCATTTCTGATCCTAGGTTGCTGGGCAAGATGAGAGATGTTTCATCCTCACCCCCCCCCCCCCCCCACCCCCCAAATAGTTATGAATCGGAACTATAGCAACATTGAGAAGAAGAAATAGAAGGAGCTGACTACATGAGAGCATCCACCGACAACGTATATATTTTTGTTGAGTTCAGTTGTACAGCTGTTCCTACATATTGAAGACTGATTAAGAAACAGACCCTGCATATTAATGAATTTCTGGACTATAGTAATATGATGGGGCATGTTGTTGTTGTGTCTTCATTTCTTACTTTTTGTTTGTTTGTTCTTACAGGTACAGAATCACGTCAAATTTGAGCAGTCGAGTTGGACATCTGAATCCTAAATGGAACTCCAAAGGAATGGATGAAGACGTAAGTTAGGGATGGGTTGCATCTAATTGTGTCAGGATTTTCATGTAGTGTGACTTCTTTGTTCCCTTTAAGACAAAAAGCTTGATTTGATAACAGACCCATAGCACTATTGATCTACTTGGCCTCTAAATTCGGAGCGTGTGAAGAACAAGACTGGTGCCATTTCAGTAGAATTGACACCCTTCCCTGAAGGTAGGAGTTGTTTGTTCATTCATTGTAAAGTACTGTAAGTACAGGAGGGGGGGGGGGGAGGGGGGTTCTAGCACAAGTCATGGGAAGAGTTGCTGTTGCTGAGGCAGCGTAGAGGTTCAGTCTGTAGAAATGGTTTGACTTACACTGAAGTGTGTGGAAGTGTACTACAATTTGTCTGTCTCATGCTCAACTAGTCGTAGATTGCTGATATTGATTTTAAGGCTTTTTCAAACGAAAAAATGTGTCATTTTGGTCCTTTGCTGGTTCTTAGGAAGCTATTTTATGATCTGATTTCTTTCAGATTTGGATTGATCAGGAAAGAGAAGTGTAGGAACAAGTGTGATTTGACCTTTAGAAGGTATTTCAAAAGTCTTAACCCTGCATTATTGTTTTCCCTTCTATCAGGTCCAGTTTTTCAAAGCTATGGACCTGGTGGGGTCGGAGTTTTTGTCCAAAGTGACTGATTACAAGGAGACGTGGCTTCCTGCAAGGAGTCTCGTTCTTGCGGCGATCAAGAACAGATATAATGTAAGTCATGTGTGACCATCATAGAGACCGGCCATTGTTTGGTCTATTTTGGTTTCCTTGTTCTGTTTACTGTGTGGTATTTTTGTCAGGGTTGGTCCCCACTAATGTTTTTGTCTTATCAAAGCTTTGCATTCTTCAGATAGAGCTGGTTATCCAGAATGCCTAGTTGCTTTACAGGGAAGAAAAAGTTCTTGAAATGTTTTCCAGACTTTCAGAATTAACATTCTGGCTACAAAGACAAATGTCTTGATGGAGCGTTTGGACAGGTCCACTGTAGCATGGCAGGTTATGTATGAACTAGGTCTTTCATGGAGAAGCCGGTGACTTGAATTGGAGTGATGACCAAAATATACCTGGTGTTCTGAAAAGTAGTGCACATTATAAATTTCAATGTCAGTGGCTTGACGATCTTCTGATATAAAGAAAAAAAGCCCAACTCATTTGTTGTTTGGGTTTTTATTTGTCTGTGTATCGTTGTTGGTGCTTTCGTTCTGTCAGTGATGTTATGAAGTACGTGTGGTTGGTGAACATTTTCATTCTAGTCTACTGCTCACTGTATCTTCCTCTTTCTTCACTCTTGTCTTTGCCTTAAGCTCTTTAGACCTGCATGTTTGCGACAATCGTCTGAAACCCGACAATCGCGACCCGACCCGTGAACCGACCAGTGCTATCGCTAGGCCCGCCTGTATCAGTCAATGTGCGTAGTGCGAGGCCTGGCCGAATGCCAGCGACCCCTTTTTCTCCTGTCGGCTTCGTCGGCACTTTCGTTTTCGTGCCAACAGCCGACGCACGCTCCGCCGACGTCGGCGTTTCCGACATAATTGTCGGAACCTAAGTAGAAATGCAAATACGAAAAAGGACGACAACCTAAATTATCTAGTTTCAGTTTCGTGCTCGAGCGGCCATTTTGAATTTCGTTTGTTGACTAATTCAATTGTTCAGATCGTGTGAATTCATTCAAGTTCGACTCTCTTGTTCTAATAGAATCTAGATCTAGATCTAGATTTATATAGATCATTATAGACCTCAATGGAGGATTCATATTCCAATTCTATTGTGTCAAACCCTATCATAGGTTGTGCTGTAATATTAATATTGGTAAAAATAAGCATTTCATTCATCAGGTGCGTGAATTATTTATTTAGATCTAGATTCTAGATCTAGATCTAGATTTCTAGATCTAGAATCTAGACTCAGCTGAGTCCCTCTGTTCGGAATCGGATGCAGATTTCTAGTTCAAGGCCTATTCCTATTCACTTGTTCTACAAGATCTAGATCTAGATTATTTAGATTACTAGATCTAGATCTAGATCTATATGGAGGATTCATATTCCAATTCTATTGTGTTATTGTATCAAACCCTATAGCAATGTAGATGTAAGCCATTAGATATAGATCTAAATCTAGATTCTAGAATCTATATGCTCCTTGTTTGTTTTGGAGTGTGGTTTTTTAATTTTAATTTTTTTTTTCATTTAGGACTTGTTTTGGCCTTTTTACATGAGGCCCTTTGCAGGTTCTTTTTGGAGGTAGGGTTAGGGTTAGGTGTCTTCTTTATTATGTTTGTTGGGGTGGTCGCTTGTTACTCGGATGTCCTTCCTTATGTCACCCACAAAGGCTTTTGGGTGGGGGGGGGGGGGGGTGCGCGCAAAATTTTCAGACAATCTGGTTGAGGCTCACATGCAGGTCTAGCTCTTCTTTGTGGGTGGTTGGCAGGTGCTCTGGTGTGATTTGCTTCTTCTTTTCTATCAAACATCTATCGTCCTTATCTCCCCTCCTTCTTTTTTGTGTTTGTTACTCTCTTGTAACACCTCTAATCTTCTGGCGCTCATATGATCTTATGCAGTTGCGAGCGCCGTAAAACCTCTACTAAAACTAAAACTAACTAAGCTCTTCTTGTTGATATGTGGCTGTTCCCGTGCCTATTAGTTATTATAAAAGACTTGAGGACAACGTTCACGTGATGGTAACTGTTTTCTACCTACCCAGGTGGACCCGAGCGGTCAGATCATCTGTCTGGAGGAGGGAGGCTGCCCCTGGAAGGATCACCTCTTCACTTTGGAGGCGGAGCTGAAGGTGACGCCACCTATCCTCTACGCGCTCTTCACAGACACCCATGGCAACTGGCGTGTGCAGTGCGTTTCTGTCAGTATGGGATCATTTGAAAATAGGTGAGCTCTGGTAGTGGGTATCTACTGACAAATACAGTCGCACCTGCCCTAACGGACACCTGTCCAAGACAACCACCTGTGCAAACAAAAACTTCCCACTTCCCCCTTTTGCAAATTTTTTTTTTCAATATTATAATGGCTCTATCCAAGATGGTCCATCTGTCTAAGATTTAACCACTGTTCTCTTCAACAATGGATAGCTAGCTGTGTTGGACAAATTCAAGTAGGTGGTTGATGGGTGCTCTAGTGTGGTTTGCTCCTACTTTCCTATTAAACATTTATCATCCTTATCTCTCCTACTTTTTCGTGTGTTTATTACTCTCTTGTAACACTACAATTCTTCAGCTCTTGTTTGAGACCTAATTGTGTTGCAAATGTCTTAAAACTCTTACTAAAACAAAACACAACAAATTCAACGGTATGGCTCGCTTTTAGTTGTTTTGAACTTTACACTGCCCCCATCCTTTATCACTGCATAACCCATTGAGCCTTACAGGGCCTGGGCACCTGAGCCACCCCTGGGTCAACTGCAAGATTTACACCATGACATACTGAGGCATGTGGGGTTTTTTTGTGCACAAGGGCCGGCGTTTGGATCTTTACGGTTAACACAATTGATTTCTACTCTGCTGACACGCTGTCGCTGACAAAAAGTCATGACCATCTTCACCCATGTCGCTAATGGTCTAGATTCTGGAGCTCCGAAAATAGGGTGTACAAATTTGAGAAAGACATTCTGAAAGTCAGAAAATAACTTAAACCAATCGAATAGATAGGCCTAACTTCCTCTGCATGGATACTGATGATGAGTAATGAGTGCAGTGTTTACAGTGTCTTCTTGTCACTTTTGTTACTATCATAAATGTTTTGCGCTCATGGGCAGCTTGTCATTACGTCTGTTGTACAGTTAGGCTCTTTGCCGTCCATGCAGGAGACTCGAGTTCGATCCCTGTGTTGAAAGTATTTTTATCAAATGTTCCCATGTTTCTGCTCAGATGTTGTACCCTTCTTATCCCGGATTGGCCCTGACAGGCCGGGTCAAAACCCACCTCCCAATTATCTAAACTGTATAGATGGGGGCATTGAAAATGTTCATTTATTATTGTTTTAAATTAAAAAAGACAAATTGTCAATCCAACAGGAAGAGAAAGGAAAGACACGAGCAGCTGTAGAAACTGATTTATTCCTGTATGTATAGAAGCTAAATTAAAGTGTCAAAAGGTCATTGGAAGAAAGGGAAGAACTTGTTTGTGTTGAATCATGACCTGTTTATTTAACTCATTTGCTACATATTATTTTCGGCTTGTGGACTAATTTTTTTTGGGAGGGCGAACGAGATGATGACCAGTGGGCAGTTAATAAAAGGTCTTTGGGGCCACTAATTCAAATAAATATCAACATATTATATACCAATATTTTCAGTATGGATTGTAGAATACATCACATCTGTAATGTTTATTTATGTAGTTTTCAACTTTGGTTCCTGTAAGAGGCGATTATGCAACACAATTTTGATTGGATGCGGATAAAATTTGAAAATGAAAACTTAATAATCTTTGGTGAAACTCAATAAATATACTTGCACCTAGTCAAATGATACATCAAAATAACCATAAATCAATAGAACTGGATCATAACATCCAATATTGAAAAAAAAAATTTTTTTTATAATCTTGAAAAACGATCACAAACAGATAAAAACCCATTCGTATTCTAAAATGGAATTATTCAGAATTGCATTTGGAATAAATGTATACATGTCTTGAGTGTCACTTTTTGTGTAATTTCATCAAAAAGTAGTGATTTTGGGGATAAAAAAATATTCTGACAATTTAGATCTACAATCTAGATCTAGATTCTAGACCTAGATCTGCACTCAAAAATATTGATTTCTAAATAACAGTGTATTGGCAATATGAGTCCAATCGTATCAATATTATAAAAATGAGTCCTACACTTCTTTAGTGGGCAAAATAATGATAGATTTTGTTGTGTAAAATTACTAAGACTGGTGTCCGGGCTATAATTTTGGCATCGGGATAAAACAAAGTCGAATAAAGTACGAAATCGCGTTTCAAAGCTGAATCTAAACTTCCGATTTTCAGTGGAAATGCTTGACCCGGAAGTCGACATTATATTATGACCTTATTTTAACATGGATATGTGGATTGGAATAGAATCTTACCTAAAATTGATGATTGGTTCTCGAGCCGCCGGGGGCAGCTTAGCGTACTGACGGCACTTTAGCCGCACCGCCCCCCCCACGGCTCGGCGTAGCGAATGAGTTAATAAAATAATGTTGTTTATTTTTCAGATTGTCGCTGAAGGAAGAGTGGCGAGGAGTCCGTGACGATGAACTCTCAGAGAAGAGCGGGATCAAGGGCTGTATTTTTGTTCACACCAGCGGCTTTATCGGTGGGAACAAGACCTATGAAGGGGTTTTGGAGATGGCTCGGCAGAGTATAAATGCTGGGAAATAATGCATGATTTTATGTGCTTGTACCGGTATAATGACTCAATGACGATGTATGGCATTTAGGAAGGGTATGTGTGGCGAGGAGTAAATGTTAATAAACTCATTTGTTGTCAGCTGCTATTTTTCAGTGTCTGGTGAATTCTTTCTTGTGTGTGGTGTTTAGTTTATGTGGTAATGCAGTGGGTTTTGTTTGATTTTTAATAAAGAATTATTCCTTGTAAGTTGTTTTTCACAATTTCAATTTTTACTTATTCTACTATTTGACTCTTTTTTTTGGTTAATTGCATCATCTGTCAGGAAGACTTAACCTTAAGCGTCCTATTCCACTGCTGTCCGCTGCCGCCCTAGAGTCCTGTACCGCTGAAAATTGTTACCCTGAATTGACTCCAGTTATCACCATTTTCTGCTGTCTGTGTCAGGGGAAACAACTGTGTTAGAGTTTGCTTGCACAGTAGGAAGTTTTGATGACTAAATTGAGAGTAAGGGTGGGCCGACTCCGAGAACTTCCGAACTTTTGACTCCGAACATTTTTGGGTGCGAGTTCGTCGAATTCGACTCCAAATTCGAATTCAGGTCAAGATAGCAGCAAATCAAATTTGAGGAAAGGCAAGGTCAATTCGGTTAGATTCATGTCTAGTCGTTCTCCCTCCAGCTGTCGAGTCGAACACGCTGTAGAGAATCCCGATGCCACGGACCAATGAAGATAAAGGGGACGGGGAGGGGGGAGGAGCGGGGAAGAGGTCACAGAGGTCGGGATTGAGGCAGGCAATGTTTTAGAGGTTTCTTGGGTGCAGTTTTGCATAAAATTATTTATAGTTTTAAACAAATTAAATAAGTTTTCGCTCCTTGTGTTCCATTTTCCCCTTGGCTGCCCGAGTTCGGGAATTTGTGTTCGGACTCTGCCTCCTACCCAATGTTCGAGCTCCAACTCCAACCCCACGAATTCGTCGAATTCCGAACCTCGACTCGACTTCGCCCATGCTTAATTGAGAGAGGGTGGCGACTTTGAAAAAGTGAGATGAGTGATTTATTTGACGATGTGTTGCCTGATGGTTCACGGGGAAATCTGTATTTTGTCACATTCCTCTCAGTGGTGTTGAAGATAATCAGTTAGATATATAAGATGATTTTGATGTAGGCCTACTATGTACAACAGTTGATGGGAATTCATGATTCAAATGATGATAGCGAAAAGAGCACTGGTGCTAAGTCTAGCTCTAGTTCTGCAAACTCACGAACAATCACAGCTGATTGTAACATGTAACATGCCGACTGATAGCTGGAGTTATGACTGCACAGGCTATGGGGGAAATGTTCTGCCATTCACAGAGATGTGTGGTCGCTCTGAAATATTAGGACATTCTCCGGTTTTTGGCCCCAAGTGTACTGGATATCGATACTCGGTATCAATGTCTTATCTGAAAGAGAGCTAGATCTAGAAATGCGCTGCTATTTTTCAGTACAAAATGGACAGTAATATTACTCATGTTTTTAGCATTGGGG